CTGCAGTCATTCTATATTCATACCTTCGGTGTATATGACGCAAGCAGATTTTGACATCAAATTTTGGGGTAAAAAAGTGCATCTTATACACAGAAAAATATAGTACCTTTTACCATACTGCCATCTGTGGGTCAGTAATCTCAATATTCTGTATCACAAAATAAATAATTACAGGCAGAATTTAGCCAAACTAAGACTTTTCACCTTTAGTTCACACAACATGGTTCAATATTCAAGCTGTCTAATGCACAATAACAAAAATATTCAACAAAAAATACATGTACTGCTCTAGATAGCTATACACACGAGTACCTGAACTATCACCATAATGTGCTACCACTTGTAGGTCAACCAATCCACTACAGTCACCATCACAGGAAAACAAAAAGCCTTTTCCACTAAGATTTATTAGTATTATTAATGTCCTGTGCTGACTAAGAGAAAGACCTTTGCATTAAACATCTGGAAGTAATGCACACAGCTCTCATACCTAAATATTTGGACTTGTATGTAAATGTTACTTAACGTTTTGCATTTTCTCACCCTCAAAAATGTAAGGGCAGTTAGTTGCACAATACATCATCATGACAGGTGTTTTAGTTTAGTTTCAGTTAGTGTGGTAGGGATTAGCAAACTTTGCAAGAATGCACTTCACTGTCTGCTCCAACAAATTACCTGATTGTGGGTGATATGGCAAATTGCATTTTCACCAAACCCAACATTTTCCACAACTTGGCTGTCGAAATTAACTCCTTCACCCATGTGGAATTCTCAAGGTACTCTGAACTGTGCTATCCATTATTTGATAAGAGAGCAGCAATGGACTAAGTAACTTTCTCAATATGGACTTTGCCATTTTGACTGTTCTTGTAACCACCAGGTAACCATGAAAGTATTCATGCTATAACTTTTAATATGGTATATGTATATTCACGAAACTTGACAAGCTTTTAGTAAACACAACAAGCCTTTTGTATAGAAAAAAAATTAGTTTTTTTAATTAAGTATTTTTACTAAAACTTTGCCTTGTGAATATATGGAAACATATGGAAATTTTATTTGCATAACCTTTAAAACCTCCTAAATGAATATCAAATGTTTATGTTTTTGAGTAAAACTTTTTTATTTTGTTTGTTATTTTCTTTACCCTAATTCTATACATACTTGGTTGATTCTTCTGACTTTGTAACCATCATAAAAAAATAAAAAATAAATCTAAATTACCCTATTTTCTTTCATATTTTGATGTCATGATATGTAAATAAAAAATTGTTATTTTACGGTGATAATCTTGTTTTCTTGTGCCCAATAATGCATAATTTCATTTGATAAACACGTTTAGATTGAATGGTAATTTATAATCAGTCACAAGAACGTCGAATCTGAATCACTTGAAAAAAACACGGGGGTGCTTAACTTTTTTCCAGGTGTATATATTGGACAGTTTTCACGCTTAAAATTATCTTTAGCTTTCACTGACAATACTTATTTTTTTGCCGTTATTGAATTGTCAAATCACATTACAAAATGTCAATCATGACCCACACATTGATAATTAGTCATCGAAAAGTCAATATCGGGTATATCCACCGTTTGCCTGGATGACTGCTGCAACCCTGCGCCGCATACTGCCAGTTAGGAGAATTCTTGTGTTTGTTTGTTCCTTGTTGATGTATACACATGGAAAAAAGTTAAGCACCCCCGTGTTTTTTCAAGTGATTCAGATTCGACGTTCTTGTGACTGATTATA